CACTAATTATAAGATAAATGCAAATCAAAACCACAATGAGATATCATCTCACACCAGTCAGAATGGTTATTATTCAAAAGTAAAAATAGAGGCCAGTTGCAGTGGCTCATGCCTATAAATAATTGTAGCACTTTGGGAAGCCGAGGCAGGTGGATCGCCTGAGGTCAGGAGTTCAAGACTAGCTTGGCCAACATGGCAAAACCACATCTCTACAAAAAGTACAAAATATAGCCAGGCGTGGTGGCAGGTACCTGTAGTCCCAGCTACATGGGAGGCTGAGGCAGGAGAATTACTTGAACTTAGGCAGCAAAGGTTGCAGTGAGCCGAGATTGCACCACTGCAATCCAGCCTGGGGGACAGAGTGAGATTCCATCTCAAAGAAAAAAGTAAAAATAGAATATGTTGGCAGGGCTGCAGAGAAAAAGAACACTTATACACTGTTGGTGGGAATGTAAATTAGTTCAGCCACTGGGGAAAGCATTTTGGACATTTCTCAAAGAACAAAAGATAGAACTACCATTCAACTCAGCAATTTCATTACTGGGTATATGTCCACAGGAAAATAAACCATTTTACTAAAAAGACACATGCACTCATATGTTCCTTGCAGCACTATTCTTGATAGCAAAGACATGGAATCAACCTATGTGCCCATCAATGGTGAACTTAATAAAAATAATGTGGTACATATACACCATGGAATACTTCACTGCCATAAAAATGAACAAAATCATTTCCTTTGCAGTAACATGGATGCAGCTAGAGGTCATTATGCTAAGTGGATTAATGTAGGAACAGAAAATCAAATACCACATGTTCTCATTTCTAAGAGGAAGATAAGCATTGAGTACACATGGACATAAATATGAGAACGAAAGTCACTGGGGCTACAAGAGGGGGTAGGGGGTAGGAAGGCAATGATTAACACACTACCTATTGAATACCATGATCACTATCTGGGCGATGCATTGAATTATACCCCAAACTTCAGCAGCACACAATATTCACTTGTAACAATTCTGCATGTGTATCCCCTGAATCTAAAATAAAAGTTGAACTTAAAAACAGACACCAATAATTTGATACAAAAGATCAATGAACTGTGAAATTGGTTTTTAAAACAGATAAATAAATGTAATTAATCTTTAGCTAGACTAGGAACAGAAGACAGAAGACTCAAGTAAATAAAATCAGAAATGAAAAAGGAGATATGACAACTGAGATCTCAGAAATACAAAGGATTGTTAGAAACTATTAAGAACAACTATACACCAAAAAATTGGAAACCTAGAAGAAACGGATAAATTCTTGTAAACACACAACTTATGAAGATTGAACCATGAAGTAAAAGAAAACCTGAAGAGATCAATAATGAGGAATGAAATCAAAGCAGTAATCTTCTTCCATCAAAGAAAAGCCCAGAACTAGGTGGATTAATTACTGACTTCTACCAAACTGTTTTTTTTTTTTTTTGAGACAGAGTCTCACTCTGTTGCCCAGGCTGGAGTGCAGTGGTACAATTTTGGCTCACTACAACTTCCACTTCCTGGGTTCAAGCAATTCTCCTGCCTCAGCCTCCCAAGTGCCTAGGATTACAGGCATGTGCCACCGTGGCCGGCTAATTTTTATAATTTTAGTAGAGACAGGGTTTCACCATATTGGTCAGGCTGGTCTCAAACTCTTGACCCCATGAGCCACTCACCTCAGCCTCTCAAAGTGCTGGGATTACAGGCATGAGCCACCGTTGCTGACCTCTACCAAACTTTTAAGGAAGAACTAATGCCAATTTTACTGAAACTATTTCAAAAGATCGAAGGAAGGAAATTCTTCCAAACTCATCCTGTAAGGCCAGTATTACTTAAACTAGATAAGTACACACACACACACACACACACACACACACACACACACACCTATAAGCTAATATTCCTGATAAACATATATGTAAAAACCCTCAACAAAACATAATTCAATAAGACGTTAAAAAGAACATTCAACATAATCAAGTGGGCTTTACCCCAAAGATGCAAAGATGGTTCAACATACGAAAATCAATAAATGTGATAAAGGCCAAAAAACATATGATCATTTTGATACATGCTGAAAAAGTATTTGGTGAAATGTAACATACCCTCATGATAAAAACTCCTAACGAATTGGATATAGAAAGAAAATACCTCAATATGGTAAAAGCTCTACATTACAAACCTACATGAAATATCACACTGAAAGGGCGGAAATTGAAAGCCTAAGACAGGAACAATACAAGGATGCTCACTTTCACCACTTTTATTCAACCTAGCTCTGGAAGTCGTAGCCTGAGTAATTAGGCAAGAAAAAGAAACAAAGTGCATCAAAATTGTAAAAGAAGAAGTGAAATTATCTTTGCAGATGACATAATCTTACTTTTAGAAAAACCTAAAGACTCCACCAAAGTTCTTGGAAATGATAAATGAATTCAATAAAGTTGCTATACACTAACAGAAATCAATCTGAAAAGCAATCAAGAAAACAATGCTATTTATAATAGCTCAAAAATACCTAAGAATAAATTTAACCAAAGAAGTGAAATAATCTGTTCAAAGAAAACCGCAAACCATTGATGAAAGAAATTGAAGACACACAAAAATGGAAAGATATACCATTCTCATTCATTGGAAAAATTGATAATGTTAAAATCTCCACACTACCCAAAACGATCTAAATAATTATTATTGTTATCCCTATCAAATTACCAATGACATTCTTCACAGAAACAGAAAAAAATCCTAGAATTTGTAGGGAACAAGAAAAGGCCCTAAACAGCTAAAGCAGTCCTGAACAAAAAGAACAAAGCTGGAGGCATCACATTACCTGATTTCAAATTATGCTACAAAGCTATAGTAACCCAGATAACATGATACTGGCATAGATACAGATGCATACATCAATTGAACAAAATAAGAGAACCCAGAAATAAATCCATGCACTTGCAGGCAACTCATTTTTGACAAAGGCACCAAGAACATATAATGGGGAAAAGGACAGTTTCTTTAATAAATGATGCTGGGAAAATGGGATATCCATATGAAGAAAAATGAAATTAAATTTTTGTCTTTCATCATGTTCAAAAATCAACTGAAAATAGATTAAAGACTTATCTATATGACCAAAAGCTATGACACTACTAGAAGAAAATGTTGGGGAACACTACAGGACTTTGGTCTGAGCAAAGATTTTTTTGGGGTAAGACCCTCGAAAGCACATGCAACAAAAGCAAAAACAGACAAATTTACCTCAAGCTGAAAAGTTTCTGTAGAGGAAGGAAACAATCAACAAATTAAGAGACAACCGATAGGATGGGAGAAAATATTTGCAAACTATACATCTGGCAAGGAAATAACAACCAGAATATATAATGAGCTCAAACATCTCAATAGTAAAACCCCTCAAATAAATCAATTAAAAAAGGGACCAAATATCTTAATAGACATTTCTCAAAACAAGGCATACGAATGACCAACAGATAAATGAAAAAAATGTTCAACGCCTTTAGTCATTAGGGAAATGCAAATCAAAACCACATTGAGATTATACCTTACCTAAGTTAAAATGGCTACTATCTCAAAAACAAAAAATAAAAAAATGCTGGCAAGGATGCAGAGAAAGGGAAATGGTCCCACACTGTTGGTGGAAATGCAAAGTAATATAGCAATTAGAAGAAAGAGTATGAAGAGTCCTCAAAATACTAAAATAGAACTACCATATAATCTAGCAGTCCCACTGCTGGGTATATTTTCAAAAGAAAAAGAAATCAGTATGTAAAGTGATAGCTGCATTCCCGTTGTGTGTGTATGTGTGTGTGTGTGTATGCGCATGTGTGTGTAAATGATTTCAATAGTTACCTAAGTGTTCACCATTGGATGAATGGATAAAGAAAATGTAGGGTATATACACAATGGAATATTATGCAGCCATAAAAAGAAATGATACTATCATTTGCAGGAACATAGATGGAACTGAAGGTCATTATTTTAAGTGAAATAAGTCAGATGTAGAAAAACATCCTAAGTCCTAGCTCATATGGGGAGCTAAAAAAGTTGATCTCATGGAGTTAGGAGAATGGTGATTACTAGAGGTTGGGAATAGAAGGAAGTGGGGAGGGGGCAAAAAGAGAAGTTGGTTAATGAATATAAAAATACAGTTAAATGGAAGAAATAAGTTCTAGTATTTGACGGTACTGTAGTGATATAGTTTGGATGCTTGCCCCCTCCAAATCGCATGTCAAAATGTTGTCCCCAGTGTTGGAAGTGAGGCCTGCTGGGAGGTGTTTGGATCATGGGGAATGGATTCCTCATGAATGGCTTAGAGCCATCCTCTTGCTGGTGAGTGAGTTCTCATGAGATCTGGTTGTTTAAAAGCATGTGGCAGCTCACCCCTGTGCCTCTTGCTTTTGCTTTCACCATGTGACATGCTGGTTCCCTGTTGCCTTCCACAATGATTAAAAGCTTCCTGAGGCCCTTATCAGAAGCAGATGCCAGAACCACACTTCTTATACAGCCTGCAGAACTGTGAGCCTATTAAACTTCTTTTCTCTGTAAATTACCCAGTCTCAGATATTTCTTTATAGCAGTGCAAAAATGGCCTTATACAAGTAGGGAGATTATAGTTAATAATATATTCTATATTTCAACATTGCCAGAGGAGAAAATTGTAATGCTTCTAACACAAAGAAAAGATGAATGTTTGAGGTGATGGGTATCCCAGTTACCCTGATTCGATAGTTATGCATTGTATACATGTATGAAAATTTCACTTGTACCCCACAAATATGTATAATGATTATATATCAAGAAAAAATAAAAACCAAAACAAACAAAAACTACAAGAGCTCACTTGGGAAGGTGACATGCCTATTATCAAGTCATCCCAGAACATAGGTCATGAAGCAACAATGGTGATATTCTATCAGAATTGTCAAAATTATGTAGACATAGTGTGAAGAGAGTCTTGTGGCTTACCTTAAAAGAGATTTCATACTGTTCTCCTCCCCAGATTTCTAAACCTGGATCATAGCCACCCAATTCCCAAAACCATTTCCGATCCACAGCAAAGAGACCTCCAGCCATAACAGGAGACCTGTGAAATGAACAAAATAATCTTTAAAGGACTATGAACATGAAAGACAATAGCATTTTGCTTGGGAAAAAGTAAAATTCAAGTTATGTTTTAGTGGTCAGCTGTGTGGAGCTTTTCAGCACTGGTTTTCTGTAAGTGGATATAGGGTTCTCATTGGATCTCTCACTGAAATGGAAGTGGGTGGGGAGGGAGAAACAATCCCTGTGAGCATTAAACATTTGCAGTTCAGGTCTTAATGCAACAATTGCCCTGCCGAGCCACATTTGCTCCATTTGTTTATCATTAGCGAGAAATATTAATACATGAGTAGTAATAACCCAGAAAGTAAAAAATATCACTCAATTTTATGGTTTTTCCTTAAACTGAAAGGAGTCTTATACTATTAGACAGATAAAAGCATTGAAAATGCTTTTGTAGACAGTATCTTTGAGTGATATTTCAGTACGCATTCACCAAGCATCTACTATGAACAGGTCATGTCCAATTTATAAACTACAAATCAGCTGGTTAGAATAAAATAAGCAACCAGAATTGGTTGTTCAATGTGTCAAAGCTGGAATTTAAACTAAGTCTTTTCTTTTTATACTATTCGTTTTAGGCCTTCTCTGCCTAAGAAATATTACTTTTGGTTAAATAATAATTTTCAAGTATTCCACTCCTGTGAGGATGCCTTTCAGTCATGTTATTGTGAAATGAGATAATTATAACCATTTGGTGGGCACTGCCCTAAATATTTTTACAGTTCAAAAGTGCTCTTGTTTATTTTTATTTTTTTTGACTGCTCACTATGTGCTGGGCTAAAGGATAAAATCTATACCTAATTACCTTGATCAATCCTCATAACATTCCTATGAATAAGATCCCTATGCACGGTTTGAGGAATCACGAAGAAGAGGTGGAATGCTGCCCAAGGCTAAGGCTAGTGTGTGGTGAGGCTGGGCTCGGGCTCTTCACCACAACACGGTTTCTGTTTCAGTGTTTGGAGGTGAAGAGACATAATTACATACCAACAGACATAAAACAGAGAACACCTCTATGCAGATCGAGAAAATCGATCAAAACACATAACTGATTTGGTAGTTTTGAAATTTTTTTTTAAAACGAAGGATATTTATAAATAAAAGTACCAAATTTTACATGTTGATATACATGAAAAGATCTGCATAACCATAGTAGACACCAATTTATTGATCAGCTGAGAACTTAGTCTTGGTAATGCTTTACAAGGCACTTGGGGAACATAACCTGAATCTGTCTAAGTGTATTATATATTTCAAAGACTTTGCAGGCTAAGATGGTACTTGATTTAATTATTTCAGCCTAGGAATTTTTTTTGAAGGTGTAGGCTTTATGTAGATGAAGAGATTACAAGGCTGGAAGAGAGATTTAGGCTTTTCCCCAGGAAAGTGAGCAGAATTCAGAAAATAATATAAAGAAACTCTCTCATGTAATTTTTTTTCTTTTAATAAAACTTCTAGAATCAGATGTGCCTTATTTTATCCCTCTCTCTAGCAGCCTGAACTTTTCCCATTTTTTTACCCACTGAATTTCAGAGTGGAATTACAACTGGAGCTGCAACAAACTAGGATTGTAACATTTATTGAGTGCAGTTCCCCAAAGAACACTTTACCAAGTGTAACCATTGCTTCTACAAGGGTTGGTTATGAGTAGTCGGAAATTCTCAGTCTTATTTAATCTGAACTGCAAATAGAAAGGTCCCAAGTCATACAAACGTATTTTCATTTCATTGTGTAAAACATGAGACAAAGTGCACCAAAACTTACACTGTTCACAATGAATCTCAAACTAGAACTATCATTGGTATATTATTATAGACCTTGGGCAAGAAATATTCTAAATTGAATTTTTACTGCAAATTGTCAGAAACACAATAATCTTGTTTTCTTAATGAGTTTATAAAAAACCCATGCAGTGTACTGTAGGTTATTTTAGACATATAATAACATAAATTCAGATGAATCTTCTGTACATTTATTGTTGTTCCTACAAAGCCCTAAATAAATTAGTATCTCCTATCTTGATTGATGTGAATGAAAGATAGGAGATAGACTTGTTATTTATTCTGTTTATGTATTTACTCATACTTGTCCATGAGTTTTAAAAACAGCTTAATTGTTGTTGTGATTGACATACAATTGATTGTACATATTTTAAGTATACAATTTTATAGGATTTGACTTGTGTATATCTCCGTGCAGCCATTACTGAAAATGAGCCTATCATTTGTCAAAGTTTCCTCATGCATCTTTGTAATCTCTTCATTTCCTTCCAACAGGCAATGACTGATCTGCTTTCTACAGATCAGTCACTGCAGATCAGTCTGCATTTTCTACAATTTTATGCACATATAGTTATACAGTATACACTTTTTGGGGAGTCTGGCTTCTTTTATTCAGTATGACTATTTTGAGATTCATCCATGCTGTAGCATGTATCAATAGTTCATTATTTTTAAATTGCGGAGTGGTATTTTATGTGCATGAATTTACCATGATTGATTATCCATTCACCTGTTGATGAATGTTTCCATTGTTTCCAGTTTGGGCTATTACAAATGCAGCTGCCATGAACTTTGTGTATTAATCTTTGTGTGGATGTGTGCTTTCATTTCTCCTGGGAAGATTCCTAAAAGTGGAATAACTAGACAATATAGTAGGTATGTGTCTAATATTTCAAGAAACTGCCAAACTATTTTCCAAAGTGGGTGTACGACTTGCTATATTGAGCTCCATCTGCTTCATGTCCTCGCCAATACTTGTTTTGGTCTGTCTGTCTTTTGAAGTTTAGTCATGATAATAGGTGTATAGTGGTTTCTTCTTTTGGTTTTAGTTTGCATTTCCATAATCATTAATAATGTTGATGTGTTTGTATCATTTCTCTTTTTTTCCTAGTAAGTCTGGCTAGAGGCCTATCAATTTAATTAATCTGTTAAAAGAACTAACTTTTGGTTTCATTGATTTTCTCTATTGTTTTTCTGTTTTATATGTCATTTATTTCTCTTTAGTCTTTATTATTTTAATTCTTCTGCTTACTTTGGATTTAATTTGCTCTTTCTCTAATTACTTAAGGTGGAAACTGAGATAACTGATAAGAGATTTTTTTCTAATACAGGTGTTTAGTGCTATAAATCTCTTCCTAAGACTACATCATGTGCTTATTTTCATTCAGTTCAAAATATTTTCTAATTTCTCTTTTGTTTTATTTTTTGACCTATTGGTTATATAGAAGTATATAATTTAGTTTCCATATATTTGAGAAATTTTTTGGAGATTCTTTGGTTATTAATTTCCAATTTAATTCCATTGTGGTCATTGTATGACTTAAATTCTTTTAAATTTATTGTGATGTTTTAATGGCTTAGAATATGGTCTATCTTGGTAAATGTTCCATGTGTATGTGAAAAGGTTGTATATTCTGTTCCTGTTGGATAGAGTGTTTTATAAATATTTATTAGGTCAAGTTGTTTGATAGTGTTGTTCAAATCTCCTATATTCTTATTGATTTTCTGTCTCCTTGATGTATCAATTACTGAGAGAGGGGTATTAAAATCTCTGACTATAATTCTGGATTTGTTTATTTCTTCCTGCTATTCTGTCAGTTGTTTGCATCATGTTTCTGTAGCTCTCTTAATAGGTACATAAATGTTCAGGCTTTTTTTTTGTTGTTGTTATTGATGAATTAACTTTATTATCTCTATAAAATGACTTTTATTATCCCTAATAACATTCTTGGCTCTGTTATCTATTTTGTCTTGATATTAGTATAGTCAGTCTAGCTGTATTTGGATTTGTGTTACCTGAATACTAGTATTTATAAGTTTTTCTATCTTTTTACTTTTAAACTATTTGTGTCTTTATGCTTAAAATAGTTTTCTTATAGGTAACATACAGGCATCTTGCTTTTCAACTGGGCTGTTTAGATCACATACTTTTACTGTGATTATTCATGTGTTTAGGTTGAAATCTGTCATATTCTTGTTTCTTTTCTATTTGTCTCATCTGTTGTTTCCTTTATGTTCCCTTTTTCTTTTTTTGATTAATTGAATATTGTTGATAATTTCATTTATCCTTTTTGACATAACAAAACTCCTTTTTCTTCATTGTAAGTGGTTTTTTTATTATTGTAATGGTTTGTGGCATATGCCTTTCTTTTATCACAATTTGTGTTTCAGTGATATTATGTCACTGCACATATATTATAAAAAGCCTTTGAGAGTATGGCTCTATTTCTCTTCCCCCATACTGTGTCTTTGTTTTCATACATTTTACTTTTACACACTTTTTAAATTTCACATTGTATTATTATTATTTTTGTTTAGCCAATCATCTTTTAAAATGATTTAAATACTACTTTATTATGAACACCATTTTATATAGATGATATTATATTATGAACAGCATTTCTGTATTCTGTTGGAAACAAGTGGCTCTAAAGAGAATTTAAATTGTGATGTATTACGCACAACTGAATTTTTGGGTTGAGATTCATACCCCACCACCCAAACAGGAGTTAACTATTGTGCAGTATTGTACTGAAGTTAACAAGGATGAATGTTTCCCTCAGATATTAAAGATAAAAAGTTTTAATGTGTCACATTGTTTTCTTATTGGGGGAAATGAAGAAGAGTAGTTTACTATTTTGAGCATGTTGTTCCAGTTCTTTCACTTAAAATATAATATTAATTACTTGAAACTTTAGCCATGGGTTTTATTGCCTACAATCTCTCACTTGTGTATATTCACATTGCTTGTTTTCTTGCAAAATATTCTTGTTTTTTTTTGTTTTCCTGGAAATGTTAACTCATTGCAGGTGTGTTTTAATGTGGCTCTGTGTCCATGTAACTTTTAACATATTGATGTACTTTACGAATATAGCTCACACTATCACAAATCAGACTTTGAGTTTTGCTACTAATATGAACCTGCTATCTATAAGATGCCTTTTAAAATTAATGTGACCATGAAGAAATGTGTTCTTAC